TGTTTGATATGTATATTAACGACGATGTCAAATTATGATTGGTTTTTGTCTCACCGACAAGTAATAACACGTACACGTATTTACTGTTATGTCTCTAACATAAGTTATATTTGATTTATTGTCTAAACTTTCATCTTTTTTTGACACTTCGTTGGCACAGAAAATACAAAAAATGTCTGCTGTAAAACAAAAATGAGATGAAGTATAATATAATGTCATGTTTACTGCAAACATCGCCTTTGTCCTGTTTCAAAAATGTAATGATTCATGAAAACCTGTGCTATTAATCGCCAATTAAAAATGAATAAAAAATAAAACACTGCACAAGTACAGATATCATATCTGAGATAACGATTCAAGAAGTAATTTATTTTCGTCTTCTTCAGATACCTACAACAAAGGTAAGACTATTTTAAAGGCAAATAATAGAAAATGGTGAAACAAAATAAGATGTACTCTTTAAATAGTTTTGAAGTTGCATTACATACTCGTATTAACCTCAATGAGATTTTCAGGATATTTTTATTGTCCCTTTATTTTTCATATCATGTTCCCAAAACATCGATTATTCAATACCAAGAAGGAGATAAATACACTTACATGCAAATGCAAATGCAAAAGAAAATGTCACTGCATAATAATTACAATTATTGTAAATATCAACATAGTTTATGCTTATCCCTCTCACACACAGAAACATCTCAATTGCGAAATAAATGTACAAAGGATATTGTTAAGTATATCAGTTTTCAACTCAACTGATTCAAGAGACGAGAGTCTGACATATCTTTTATTGCATTTCCCTTAAATCGGATTAGAAAGGATTGTGTTTTATGATATTGGAAATATCATGTTTGCTTTTTAAGAGACAGTACGTCTTTGTAAATTATGTCAGAATGACTGCACAATCTTGTTAGACTATAAAATATGAGATTAGAAAGATTGTACCAAAATCTATATTTTGCGATGTGTTTTTGCTTGCATTTTCCAACGTTAAAACTATGCAGGAAATTATAAAACGCTCAGAACAACCAAAGGTTAACATTTGCACCAGTCGCAGATTATGTACGATTTCCGACGATTTTATATAAATTTTATCGACAAAGAAATGAAAAAGGATAATATCAAAATGTTTGAAAATGGTAACATGTTTTCTTCATTAAATGTACACAATATATATTATATTAGAACCACAAACACAAAATATTCATTTAATATTCATGATATATACTTTGATACCCTGTCAAATCGCATATATCTAGCGAAAAGTTTATTGACAAAGGATATTACGAATTCTATACAACTACTATAGATTCTATTATTCTATTTTTAGACGGGATCTTCATTCATCTATGGTCCTGCTATATAAATCAAATATTGCAAAATGTTTCAATATTCTATAGAACGTTCAGGGGAAAATTAATTTGACGAATGTAGATAAAGACAATTATGGCAAAGAGGAAATTTTGGAACGAATCGTGCAAGAAATAGATTGATAAAAGAACTAATTTGTTTAGCGGTCAAAAGCATTCTCTAAAATTGTTGATTAAAAGCACTCCAGAGACTCTGAAATTTGATATTATTTTCAAATGACCAAACGGACTAGCCAAACGATGTTCATGTTTCATTTTAAGATCACAGAAAAAATCTAGAAAGCTGGTGGTTTTAAACATACCTAACTGTACTTTATCTCGAAATAAATGCTTATCATGTCAAATTATTTATATGATTAAGTTTGAAAAATGTTAAGGGATATTGAATTGATGAAAGCAAACTTAACTAGACAATTTTGAATAGTTTTCCCAGCAGTTTTTCTATAGTCACACGAACACCTTTTTTTTAAATTTAAGATTTTTTTCTACAGCATTTTTTCTTATACCTGTCCAGTCTCATAAAAGAATAAAAGTACGTACAAAATTATGCAAATAATTATCATTCATTCTGATATTAAAAGGTTAAAAAAGGTCAATAATAGGCAAAAATTTCCATTATTGTTTTAATCTCGCGGTATAAATTTGGTGAAAAATATTTCTAAATTAATGAATTATTAATGTTTTTACTTTCCTAAAATGTTAGTAAATTCGAGAGGGTTAACTCATACCAATCGGAATGATCGGTTATTATCACAGACAAAAAGGCCCGAGAAGTAACAATTGCCCTTTCGAAAAATCTTATTTCATTCCATAAAGTGCTTTGCGTTTCGGCGCGGACGCTTAAAATCATATAAACACCATAATTATATTCGGTAAAGAATGTAACTGGAAATGTTCCAAGCTCGGTTTGATCGAGACTGTTCGTGAACGATAGTAGTAAATGAGGGTACAGCCAATGTCCCCTTGCACCGGCAAAACAAACAAGTAAACATAAAATGGTGAATATCTGAATTTAGAAAAATTAGCAGATATGTCCATATGGTTGTTAACATAAAAAACTTTAAGCCTGCCAGGTTCTTACAATTTAATACAAAGCTGCGGGCGGTACATCACACTTATAAATGTCGGATTATATTCCTATTTTACATAGTTCTGATCATCTCCTTTTCAAACTTTTTTCAAAATTTCAAAACAAATCATGTAACATACGTGTTTCATTTAAACACTGTTTTTAGAGAAAGATTGTATAGACAAATGTCTGACAGCTGTATTATTGTCTTTTCATTTTTCCTTAAATCGAATTAGAAGTAATTAAAATTCATGGTATTGGAATCACCATGTTATTATTCTTGCAGACAGATCGTTTTTGCAAATTATGTCATAGTTTTAGTTAAATCATGTAAAACTCAGAAGTAAGAACTTATGAACATTGTTATTTAAATCTGTATTGTTAGAAAGCCAAATCAAATGTAAATTTACATATTTTTAAGAATAGAAGATAGAGAAAATCACAGGACATAAAATATCAGCGATTGGAATTATCCACTGTTTTAGAAATGTGCACCAGTGATTAAACATCAATCAAATAATTTGAGGTTTATTGCACAATATTTGCAAAAAAAATGGCATTTAGTTAGCAAACTTTTTATTTCGGATCATTTATACCAACACAATGAAGTGTTGAAAATTGAGTTCTGCTCAAGCCGGTGCTAGAGGGTCTATGAAATGTTGCATTTACCAAGATATGAGTACTGGTAATTCCAAAAGTAAATGAAATATGACGATCAATACAATTGAGTTGACGTAATGAATAATACCCGAGAATGTTCCGATTGACAGCAGAAGCGTTGGTGTCATATTCAGAGACGTTTGTACCTAGATGTATATCTGTGCACTTTACGCTGGGGTCATTTAGAATTTCCTTCTGATCTGGCTGATTAAAAACACTGTAATATAATTATCTGACATTAAGTTTGATATTAACTTACATAATAAGCATTTTTCTATATAAATGAGTTAAATGGGCGGATTAATGATGTTTCTATCTAAATGGCATGACATATACGAAATGTCAAAGTCCACAAACAGTAAAAAAATAAATAATTTTACCAGGCACTATACTGGCATGTTCAACCAAAATTGTCGTAGAAAGTGTGTGTATTTGAGTGTATATATGTGTTTATATTCATTGATGTTTGATGATTTTATACTTTAAGTTGGCGTGCGTAAAAGTTTATAACGTAAAATAGAGAAACATGAATCCCTAAAGAACGCCCAAAACGACTTAATTGAAAATGTTTCAGGTTCGCTTTGATTAAGCCTGTTCATGGACGATATTGGATGGAAAGGTCAAGTTACCGTCCACGCCCCCTAACACCGGCGTCAGCAGAATTCCTAGTATAATAATAATAATTCATAATAATAATATTTCATTTCGGTATATAAATAATTTATTACCGTGTATAAATATTTGGCATGAGAAACAATATCTTATAATTATTGTCATGAGTGAAACAACGACAAATAAAAAATATAATTAATCAAAGCATAGAAGGTGCTGAATTAGTTTGGGTCTCAGAATGTCAGAAAGGTGAAGGTTGTGAGATTATAAACCAATTTGTTTTTGTATAGTGCCACCAATGCTGTTTCCAGTATTATAAATGTAGTAAATTAGGCTATATAGCTAATTGCAACACGAATATTCAATTCAACATTTATTTGACTTAAACTATTAAAAAAATTGAAATAGCAAAAAGAAAAAAAATACATAAGACCACTCGCTTCCTAAACGCAGCGTGTAACCTCTCGACCACGGGGAAATTATAAGATGTCGGTCTAAAGAAAACCACATTACTCTAAATTAGTGTTTGTAACCCCTATCAATAATTTCGAGATATTTTGTTCACGGTATACCTGTTGCTTAACACTGATGAAAATAATCATGGAGCTTTATATAAGCATGTTTATCTGTAAAGAATTACACAATATTAGAAATCTTCGACCAATCGGGTACTATTTTTTCTTCCCGGAGAAGGCTTGAAAATTGGACAATCTTTACGCAGTTATCTCCCCTTAATTTTAGGCGTAATTGTACTCATAAAAGAAAGTAATCGCTTCGAGAAGTTCGCACTACTTAAAACATATTCTTTATAGAAATATTTCACTGTTGTGTCGAAGTCTTTATTTTGTGGTAGTTTATTCCACAGGAAAGCACCTTAATTTGTAGACATTTTACCCAACACTTAAACTTCAGGAAATCTGCAGCAAGACCCTTTACTTAACCTTGTTTAATGATTATTTCCAGAACTCGCTGGTCATTGACGTAAAAAAGAAGCAGAATATGTATGTATCTTAAAAACGTGATTCAGAGTGATTTGCTCAACTTTGCTTGAAACAGGTAAACAGCCTACGAGAGAAAGTATAATGATATGCGACACAAAAATGGCTAATTTGATCAAATATCAACCATTTTAGTGTTATTCATAGAATTAAGTCGACTTAAGGGAGTTAATGGTGCTCTCTAAATGTCAAAACAGAAAATAATTTCAGTCATGAAAAACAATTCATTCTAATGTGTTGTAATAATACAGCTTGCAAAAGGTCATTCTAATCACATACACAGTGCTGGTCATGTAAAGCTATGTTTTCTGTTTGAAAACTGAATGCAATAAATTCTGTTATTCTGTTCTTTGCGATATTCATGTAAAATTTGCTTGTGGAACATTTAAAACTTTCAACATGGCGAAACACGGTACATGCTTTATGATTTTTTTTTCTTGTTAGATTTCATTAGAATACTGAAATTTAAGTGCCTAAGCTCAAATAAAGATGTATTTTATGTTTAAAATCATATAAAATGACCGGGATGTGAAAATTGAATTTAAATTTAATATTCAATTTAAAGATATTGTGATAAATAGGGGATATTGAATGAGTGTTAGTCCAATACCGATGCTACGGTGCTATGGGTCATGAGAATTGTTATAGATGTCATTGCAACTCATGAAGGACAAAGTCAAACCGGTGTGAATTCTTTTTACCTATTTTGTTCAGCCGAAATTCTCCTCGGAAGATCGCTCACTTCTTCACTCACAATAGTGTAATTGACATTTTTCATTCGATTAATGATAGTTGTAAAATTAATTCAAATATCAATTTATCTAAGCAAATTACTATATGATATAGCCAATCATAATAATAAATGTAGTGATTATTGCAGAAAATCATAAATAATATATAATTAATTAATTAATAATATTTAATTATTCCATTTCATTTTTTATTTACTAGAATGATTGTGTTAATTTGTATATATCTAACAAACATCAATTTTAAACTTGTTTCGAACCAAATTATTATAAATGCGAATCACTGCATCAAGGGAGAGATTTGATGAATATCCACCTATGAAACTGTAATAGAACTATAATTAAGCAGTTATGTTATTAATAACTATTTATTACTCTTTTTTTAGACTTTGTTAATGTTTCAGCAGCAGTGTTATTTCTGGTTTTGTTTCAATTCCAATCTACTGTTTGCCATCCGGTCGGCGTTTCTAACGAAAACTTCAACTGTAGAAAGTACACGGACTATGCAATACATGAAATGACTTGTAGAACTGATGGCATGTTTCACATGCGGGGCGAATTACTAAGCGACGCACGAGCAACTTGCAGGTGACGTCATTATTCACAAAAATGCACAAGACGAAAACAAATATATGAAACCTTAAAATCACCCTGTTGAATATTGCAATTGCACTTACAAAAAAGCACGAGACAAGGTATGACCAACAAATGGTCATAAAATTTTAAAACATATATTACATAAACCTTTAATATTAACTTGTTGAATATTGCAATGAATATTGTAAATTTATGTATCTAACAAATTTATTCAACAAATGTATACAAACATCTTATAGAAGTTGTAATAATGAAATGATAAAAGGTATTAGAAAGCTGATATATACTGATATCTTATAAACAATATTGATATCACATTTTTCAATATGTTGCTACCAATAACAGTAATGTGACGCGTAAAGAATCCTACCTGAACTGCATAGAATCATTGTCTGACCGATGTCCAGAGCAATATGACCAGGTGGCCGATTCTATAAGAAAAAAGCTGGACACTTTTTGTGATGGCAATGACGTGTCGGAGTGGCTTAAATCAGGTACGAAATGATTTGATTGTTTTTGTGGTTTTTTTTATATTTCACAATATAATATAATAATTTTCAGTGTTGAAATAAAAAATGTGACACTGTCACACAAAAGTATTTAAAACAATCAAAGCTTGTGTTTTGCGTTACGTAAATGTTTTGATTGATGAACATGCTTTGATTTATGTTAAACACATCTTTACTATATGTAACAAACAGACCTATAAATTATTAATAAGTTTTTAATTAATTGAACAAAATATCTGAGTATCATACGTGTTTAAAGTTCTTACTTACATTTGATTGTGTTAATTTATCTGTATTACTATGCAAAATAATGAAGCGAACAAATTATATGTAGGCCATGATATGCACAGCTATTGGCATTTAAAACGAATTATATCATTTCATGTATGCCGTGCTATGCACAGCTATTAGCAAATGGAATGCATTACCGGTAATTCGGTATATCATTTCATGTATGCCGTGCTATGCACAGCTATTGATGTATGAAATGCATTATCGGTATGACATTTCATCAGTGCATTGCTATGCACACCTATTGGCGTCTGAAATGCATTACCATTGTGACGGTATGAAATTTCATGTATGCCGTGCTAAGCATAATTATTGGCATATTAAATGCATTATAACAGTTATAATATTTCATGTTAACCTTGAAATATGTATCCGATTCAAAACAATACATTCTGTAAATTGTAAATTTTATTTTTTAGTGGAACTCGCCCGGACTCCGCCCACTGTTAACTGTCCAGAATTACCAATTAGCGAAGTGTATGGCGACTGTATTAAAAAGTTTTATGCTCAAAACAAACTTGGCGATCGCATCACTTCTTTTGAAACAGCAACGGAATATTTGCCAAGGCAAGTTACCTTTAAATTTTAAAACATACAATTTTAACTCATGTAATTTAAAAGTTAGACTCTGTCAGTAAAACTATGTAGATCAAATTCATTTACTTAATGTTTTGTCAAGTTGTTTTTTTTTTGTGTGTGTGTGTTAGTTTTCATTATGCTTTTCGTTTCTTTCTGGACGTCTGTTTTTCAAATACTGAACACTTGATTGTAATAAAACATATAGAACTTCACGTTTGTAACGTCGTTTTTCAATCGATGTTTGTTGCGTTTATATAATCTAGGAATATATACACGATATTTGTCAATTTATAATGTATTCTTCGTTTTTCGTTTGATTGTTTAATTGGGTTTTACGTCACATCGTCACAGTATAAGGCACATGGCGAGGCTCCAGCTTTACTGGTGGAGAAAGACCTCAAATGCCCTTCCGTGCACGAGCGCAACCGAGTAGAGCCACCGACGTTCCGTCAGCTAGCTGGATAGCTTCCTCACATGAAAGAATCCAAAGTCCCTGTCGGGATTTGAACCCACGGCGGTGAGGGGCAAGTGGTTTGAAGTCAACGACCTTAACCACTCGGCCACGGATGCCCTTTTCAGGAAAGTTATTTCGCTGTATGATAAATTTGACATATAGCTGTGTATCAACCGTTGTTGTGCAATATAACCCTTAATACTGAGCCATTTAGCCTGTCAGTCATCTTTATAAGTAATCTGAAGTAATTGCCATTTTTCCTGAAATACTAGCTTTATCATAATTACGGGGATATAGATTTTGTTTACACTTCATAAAGCTCATCAGAATTATAACGCTTTTTAACAGAGATAATGTTTATATCAACTTACAACCGTTTATATTTGGCCATATTAACTATCGAGCATAATACTGATTTATTCAATAAGTTCAATGAATTTAGTAATTAACATACACGAATTTAAGATTCTATTTATGGCATACCAAAAATAAAGACCGTTTTTAGTGGAAAAAAAAGTTTTCATTGACGCTCCTTTAGCATAACGCTAACATTTAGCGCGTCTTAACGCTACTTTATGTTTGTGTAATGCAAATGAGGTCACGTCAAAATATATGCACGGCCGTTCAATACCACTTTTACAGGTGTGTGATAGAGGATATTGAATGAGTGCAAGTTTAATACTGTATTTATTGAACGAGTTGAATAAAATTATATTATGCAAGCGTCTGGCGAGCATATTATTTTATTCAACAAGCTCTAAAAAAATCAGTAATGAACTTACACGAATTTTTCATTGACGCGTCTGTAGTACATGCATAATGCTAACATTTATCGCGTCGTGACGCTATGTTTATATATAACGCAAATGCTGTCACGTCAAAATATATGCAGTCGTGCAGTACCATTTTTACGGAGTCGCAAAATCGGCACGGGTATGTGATAAATACATTCAAAACTAGTGGGGACTTAAACAAAGTGGCTTTCAATCGGCAAAGTTCTTCCATTCAATATACTTTTTAAAAAAATCAATTTTAATGGGTTTTTTCGACACACACCTTGTCCAATCATATTTCATTGTACTTAAATTCACATTTAAATTGATATTTAAACAAATAAATTGAACACAAATAATCCCATTCTCATGCACTTCAACCACTTCGAAGATAAGCTGTAATTAATGGCAAAATGCAAAACTCTAAGCCAGATGACTTTCGCATCACAACTGCAATTGACCCAATAGCAACAACAAAAACTAATCAATTGTATTCAACGCACACTCTTGTTGATTATAAGGACTAGATACAAAGCACAAATAGTTGTTGTTGCTTTTTTTCATTCTTTTATTCATTATATTATTATTACTATTTTTTCACATGTCATGTTTTGCAGAAAGTACCATACGCAGATGTTAACACAATGAAAATTAAATATCTAAATATGTCAACTTATGTCAAAATACAGTATATAATTAATATCAGTATGATTTACCAAAAAAGGTTGATGAGCGATGTTTTTCATTGCCTGAAGACGAATTTTTCACAAACACCAGTTCTGGCAGACGAATGCAGCAACTCTTGGCAACACAAACTGATAGACTTTTGGTTAATACAGACGTATTACGGATTTCTTTTTAGTGACCTCTCCTATGAAGTCCAACAAGAGATATTGGTAAATTTAAGAACAGTTTTTGAAATAAACCTTTCGTTTGATTGCGTGCTGAATTTTAAGTTAAATCTACACATCTACACAGTTATGGTCAAATAGCTTTTTTACAACTTTACTGGGGGAAGAAACCTCAGGAATATTCCTCTGTGAAGTATTGAAGTCAAAAGCGGGCACCAGAGTAGAACCACCGACATCCCGTAAGCTAGCTGAATAGCTTTTTCAAATGGAAGAATTCAAAGTCGAACACAAAGCGGTAAGAACATGCAATTCGAAGTCGGCAACCGTAACCACTTGGCCACAGAGACTTTGTTTGTTTGTTTCATTGGGTTTTACCTTACACCGACACAGTATAGGTCATAAGGCGACGTTCCAGCTTTACGGGTGGAGGAAGACCTCATGTGCCCTTCCGTGAAATTCAGGCACGAACGGGCACGTGAGTAGAACCACCGATGTTCCGTAAGCTAGCTGGATAGCTTCCCGATATGAAAGAATACAAAGTCCTTATCGGGATTCGCACCAACAGCGGTGATGGCCACAGAGACTTCATTTTTTAAATTATACCAGAATAGCAAGTACTTATATGTTTGGTCAACATTAACATTCAGTGCAACAAAGTTACGGATTACATGTCTTCATTGATATTGATATCAATTAAATAGATCGCCTGCTATGTACAACTTTTCAATAAACAAATATACAAAATTTAATGTAGATATATTAGTAAACAGAAGTGATTCTGAAAGGCAATTTAATCACATATTGAATATTTTAATAAATCTTTAAATTAAATTATGTACAAATATATCTTCGTTTTAAATATATTTTTGCCTGTTTAAAATGGTCTTTACTTTAAATAAAGTACTACGTCAGTATTAGTTACAAGTTAAGAGAACGAGTCTTTTTATCATACTCCATCATTCAAGTATAATAATACTATACTGTTACAAAGTTCTTTACAATTCCTTCGCTAGTTCAACAACAAATTTCCTCATTTGAGCTCTTTTTGGTAACGAAATAATTTACACAACTTTATGCAATTTATTTCTTTTTCAGACTATGGCGAGAAGCTCTACAGTAGGGAACCTTCTATAGAGGGTTGAGACTAACATACCCCGATGGAAAGCTAACTATTACAGCAAATTCACTGCAATATTATTTGCCTTAAGCTGAAAACACTATCCTGAAACTTGTACACCATCAAAAGTTGACACCACTACTACATACATCAATTTGACATATTGAGCAATGGATAATGACGGTGACTTTGTCTTGTTACATGTGTTAGCTCTGACAAACAAATATATACTCTGAATTAAATGGTAATCTTAAAAGTACAAACATGTTATTGTTGTATGAAGGTCGTGATGACATAGTTGCTTAGTTACTGAGCAGAAACCATGTGGGGCATAAATTAAAATATTTTTGGTACCCTTCCTTCTACCTACCCAAACAATCACAGCTACCCCAAAACAATTATTGTCAATCATATAAACCTAGAACAGCCACTGTCATGTCGTGAATACCCCTGCATTCCACTTTGTCAGAATCAACAGTGGTCATTTAGAGCTCAAGGACAACCTCCTAGCCAAATCTGAAGGTATTAAGCCACTGCATTGTTAAGTTATGTATTCTACATGTTTTAGCGGCAAAGATCGAAGTGACCTTTACCTTTGACCTACTGACCACAAAAATGAAACTACCACTGCATGACTTGTTGAATACCCCTCCCCCATTCATGCAGATTTGCCTGGGGGTGTTTTATGATGAATATATGAGACCATGTGAACAAGTCAAAATCAATACACTGTGGACAGCTACTCTTAAGCAGACAATCTTACTGCCCCTGTGACCAATACCTTCGACACAGACACCTAAAAATCTAATAGTCATAACCAACATCAATACCAAATATCACGACTGTTTACCAAAGCATTCTTAAGCAATTGAAGGCTTTTGGGAACTAAAGACCCCTGTGACCTTGACCCAGTGACTTCTAAATCAATAGGGTTCACTTAATGGTTATGATCAACCTCAATGCCAAATATGAAGACTCTGTGTCAAAGGATTCGATTCCTAAGTTATTGGGCTGGTAAGCTTTTTTTAGTCAAGGCCCTTATGAACTTGAACTTTGACCTAGTGACCTCAAACACTAGAGTCTTGTTCATCTTGGCTTGTAGATAACAAATTGTCACTTCATCTAGGAAAGACTGAATGTCTTATTTTTGGTTCCAAACGTAAACTAAAACAAGTTAAAGAGTTCAAAATTGTTTGTAATGGACATACTATTGAATCCACAAAATCTGTTAAATATCTAGGTTTAAATATTGATGATTCTTTGTCAGGTGAATCTATTGTTAATTGTATTCTCACAAAGGTGAATTCACGTCTTAAGTTTTTGTATAGGCAAGCAAATGTTTTAGATTTTAGGACTAGAAAATATTTATGCTCAGCACTAATACAATGTCACCTTGATTATGCATGTTCTTCTTGGTACCCGAGCCTGAACAAGTGTTTTAAAAATAAGTTTCAAATTTGTCAAAATAAAATTGTTAAGATTTATACACGGTATGGGACCTAGAGATAGTGTCAATAATGTTATTCTTGCTAATTAGTCTTTACTAAATGTAGAAAACAGAAATAAGCAATTACGTCTTAATCATGTTTTTAAAATTGTTAATAACCAGTGCCCTTCATATATGATAGAAAATTTTATACCTGTTCGAGACATTCATTCTTATTCAACTCGGTCGAATCAGTACAATTTTAGGGTCCCAAGAAGTTATGGGAAAGATAATGTAACTTTTTTTCAAAAAGCAATTAATGATTGGAATTCCTTGCCAACATACATCAAAAAAATTAATAAGATAGGAAATTTCAAAAGCTCTGTGAAGGCCCATTTACTAGAACAGTTAGGTAAGTAAATCATAATTAAATCCACTAGTATGACTAGATATTGATCTCATTTTTATTGTTTTCTTTTTAGCAAAGTTAATGGAAATACTATAGTTTGATATTTTACGTAAATGACATCTTCCAGTTTCCAAAGTTTTGTATTTTTCAATGTTTTTGTGTTTATATTGTATATTATAGTAAGTATATATCCAAGGACCCCATTGGAAATAAGCCTTCGGGCTTTCATGGGCAATCCGAGGTTATTGCACACTACTCTATACATGTTTCCACTTACGTCCTTACATTTTATTAAACTAGTAAATTGATATCTAGTCATAGGAAAGAAAGAGTTTTAGATTTTGTTTTTAGTTATAATATTGTATTATTTAATGAGCCGTCTGTGATATTTATGTCTGACAAACTTCCGAAATATTTTATTACAATTGTGTCATCAGTTTTATATAAAATGCTAAAGTGTTGTTTTATGTATACATGTATGTGTGTTTTAACCTGAATAAATATCTATCTATCTATAAAAAATCAAAAGGGGTCCTCTACTTGTCATAACCAACCTCAATATAAAATATGAAGACTGTTGACCAAAGCATACTTCAGCAATTGAGTGGCCAAGCTTTTTGACCTTCACCAAGTGACCTTAAACTAAACAGTGGTCAGAAAATTGTCATGACCAACCTCCATGCCAAATATGAAGACTGTGGGTCAAAGGATTCTAAAGCAATTGGGCGGACAAGCTATTTGAAGACAATGCCCCTGTGACCTTGACTTTTGACTCAGTGCCCTCACAAAAAATAGGGGTTGTCTAAAGGTCATGACTAATCTCCATGCCAAATACGAAGACTGTGGGTCAAAGGAGTTTAAGGTTATTGAGAAGACAAGCTTTTACAAGTCAAGTCCCCTCTGACCTTAACCTTTGACCCAGTTACCTCAACATCAATAGGGGTCATCTAATGGTCATGACTAACCTTCATGCCAAATATGAAGGCTATGGTAGGTATTGGGCAGACAAGCTTTTTAAGATAAGACCCCAGTGACCTTGAACCAGTGACCTCAAAATTAATACAAGTCAACTAATGGTCATGACTAACCTCCATGCCAAATATGAAGATTGTGTGTCAAAGGATTCTTAGATATTTGGTAGCCAAGCTTTTTTAAGTCAAGGCCTCCGTGACCTTGGCCTTTGACTCAGTGACCTCTAATCAATAGGGGTTATCTACTAGTCATAACCAACCTCAAAACCAAATATGAAGACTGAGGTTCAAGGAATTCTTAAGTTAATGGGCGGACAAGCTTTTATAGTCAATGCCCCTGTGACCTTGACCTTTGATCTTTTGATCTCAAAATCAATAGGGGTCATTTACTAATCATGACCAATCTCAATGCCAAATATTAAGACTGTGGGTCAAAGGAATCTTAAATTGTTGAGTGGACAAGCTTTTTTTAGTGAATGCTTCTGAAACCTTGACCTTAGACCCAGTGACCTCAAAATCAATAGGGTTCATCTAATGGTCATGACTTACCTCCATGCCAAATATGAAGACTGTGGGTCAAAAAATTCTTAAGTAATTGGGCTAAAAAGCTTTTCTTAGTCAAGGCCCCTGTGACCTTGACCTTTGACCTCAAAATCAATAGGGGTCATCAACTTATCATGACCAGTCTTAATACCAAATATGAAGACAGTGGGCCAAAGGAATCTTAAGTTATTAGGTGGACAAGGAAAAAAAACGGCAGAATGGCCGGATGGACAAGCTGATTCCAGTACATTCCCCTTACAACTTTGTTGTGCAGGGGTTTAAAAATTGTTTTTACTAAACATAGAAACAGAGTGCCAATGAGAATTACATCTTTATATCTGTTTCATGTTTAAATAAATCTACAAACTGGCATATATTTTAAATAAAACTGAAAATATGGTTCTAATCATTTAATACAGATGCTAAACATTCACAGATTGTTTTGGACTTCACATTATTTCTTAAATGAAAAAAAAATGGATAAAAAATATTTTATCGACCTACCTACCAGACCCAAACTATCATGGGTCGCAGGAAGCGAAAGAAAGATAATTATATATTTTTTGCATGGTCTACTGACTGACCAATCAACATAAATAAAACAATAATTATGCTAATTATGCTCCCTTTGAAGAACTATTAATATAATCAATAAATACTTCATAGGATCCAACCTTGCCATGCAAATAACATATCTTATGAATTGTTATACAGCACATATACGAAATATTACGCATAATATCAAATATTACACATATACCAAATACTTTGTATTACACATATATCAAATATTACGGCTCATCATGTTCTGGAGGCCAAACAAATTTAGCATTAGTTTTAGCCAAATATCGGTAATCTATGGACTTGAACGTGTTGCCTTTAGCCACCCCTGTGAATTGCAATTCATTTTTGTACACACCTAACAGTTTTTCAGCATGTTGAATAAAATTCGACTTAGGAGCTGCCACAAGCGTACTTGGTACTCCAGAACAAGTTACTTTGTAATTCATTACTAACCATAACGTCAGTATTGCTTCAAAATTGATTTCTCCGTCCTCTCCAAATAGTTTGTGTTCTCTATTTTCAAGGAGCAAATCATGCTCAGAATCATAAAAGAACACTTTCAACTCCTCGTCTGTTATAGCTATACATGGTACTAAAAAAGAAGTCATTGTGTCTCTGTTCCCCTTTCTTTGAAGAAATAAGAAAGTAATTAACTGAGCTAAAATCCGACTTCTTGACTCTCTGTCGTTTATTATGTCTAGTTTTACTTCCTCTGTGGTATCTTCGTCACTTGTTTCTACTGTAAGAACATCTGCAAACAGGTTGATGCTTCCAAATAAGATGTCTAAACTTCCATGCCAGCACTTCTCATTTCCTGTGTAAAAATAATTAAAATATTAATTCATTTTTATCATTTGATCACAATAAAATTAAAGACTATGAACATTATTTTACTTACAGTTAAGCCTTAAGAGTGAAAACATTTAACCAATTTCCAGAATATTTGAAACAGAACAGTGGCCTCTAGAGAATTAACAAAGTTTTCCATATCTGGGCTGTGTGACTTAGTTTTTGACTCGAGATAACCAATATTCAAACTTGACCTAGAAATTATTAAAACAACCTTTCTGAACAATTTTCAGGATATCTGAATCAAAACAATAGCCCCTTATTTGTCATGGCAAAAGAGAATTAATCCAAAGAATATATGCTGAAAAAAAGATTTACTTTTAATTATATTTACCAGAATTTTAATTGTCTTGGATGACTAAAATAAGACTTACAAGAGTCATTTTTTTCTATATTTAACAGAAAATACAGACTGTCACCCCTTGTCCCAACAAGCTATATTTTTCCATAACCACCTAGCAAGGACAACATTCGTATTTTCCTTATTTCTAAAGTCACACACATCAGAAGGAGAATCAAATATTGTACTACTACAAAGCAAAATTTTTTTATAAAAGATAAAATTCAAATTTTCTATTCGACCTAAATTGACTTTATTTTTGAATTTTTCAGTCATTTTTCTGTAAATGTCCTAAAAATAAATACACTATGCAGTCACAGGAACAAAACTTGTCATTTTATAAAGAAACAAATGGTAGTTTCCTAACTTGACCCATGTGGGTCTGGTTAGAGTGTTAAGATTTTACAATACATGTAGTTGTCACAGTGAACTCTAGAAACGTTAAAGAACATGTCAAATGAATGACGTTGACTTGTTTCAATCATGCAATATCCACAAAACATGTTATTGTAACTTCTGAGGTTTGTTCAAATCACACTATTCGGTGATTCTGTCGGCATCTAAATTTCGTTGAACATATATAGATATATTTACACTTCAAACTGAAAAAAAAACACCATAGAATTTATACAGAAATATATGCCAGGACTTTAAAACATGTCAGTTTTGAGTGATTTCAGTACAAAAAATCATTTAATATTTTTGTCTTTTATTTGCCTGAGTATCCCTTTAGGGTAATTGTTCTTAAGTATGATTCAAGACATCACATTTATAATTATAGCACATTAGCAAAGGTCATAATTAATTTGGTCTTCTTAAAGGCCTAATGTGAAAAGATTGGTTGTGTCAAGGTAAGATAATATGGGTCAAGGTCATTTATTAGTCAAGGTCAAGTTCAGTCTGGTTATATTTCATGTTATGTTGTGAGGCAGAATGTTGAGCCTGCCATTCTTAATTAAAACCTGAATCTAAAAGTTTCAGATCAAGAAGAAAGATGTATACATAGGTTAGGTGTGCACAACACATCCTCTTTATACCCAAGGCAAAATCTCGACATTGCAAAATCTTAGGTGACTTTGACCTTTAACCGGGTAACCTGGTTCATGTGCATGACACAAAGTCCCATGATGAACATTTCAAAACTCAATTCATGTTATTTGAAAATTCCTCCATGCACGAAGAAGTTATGGCATTGGCAAGTTTGGACGCAAGTACCCACCAACAAATACTGAATAGCCATTTTGACAACTATGTCAAGCCACAGATGTAGATACATTTAACAGAGATAAGCAGCTCCTTTATACTCCATTGAAATATCACTCATTAGGCAATTTGTAGGAAGTAAAATTTAATGGATGTAGATTTGATCCTTTAATATTATACACCATATATAAAAGTTAAATCTATTGTTGCATGTTAAAATATTGGTAAGTTTCCTTGCCTTTCACTTATAGAAAAGCATAGCAGAAAATACAAACTGAGCCAGTTTTTACTTCATATAACAAGTTCTGTAACAGAAATTAATATGTTGTTCTCTTAAAAAATTGATGTATCATTTATTTAAATGGGCACAGTAAATGATATTACCTGCAGCCACTGACAAATGCGAAAGCTTTCAGAAAATGTATTATTTTTCTGATTTTGATATCTGGTTAATAAGTTTTACTCTACAAGTTAAGCAAGCAAGTGTGATATCTGAACTGGCTAGGAAGTTGCCTATCTGTTATCTATGTCTCTGGTCAAGCTCAGCGAAAGCTGATTAGACAACAAGAGCTGTCACAGGAGACAGCGAAGCTTGACTAATCAAATACTGGATGCTTTGTTTGTTTGTTTGTTTTGGGTTTTACGTCACATCAACACAGTATAGGTCATATCGCGACGTTCCAGCTTTACTGGCATAGGAAGACCTCAGGTGCCCTTCTGTGCATTTTTTCAGGCAGGAACAGGCACCTGAGTAGAACCACCGACGTTCTGTAAGCTAGCTGGATAGCTATGACAAAACTATGGGAAAAAATCAATTATGTATATTTACGTATTAAGTTATAGTAAAAAAAATAACATTTGTTCAAAAAGAGATCAATCTGAAATGATTGCTCCAATAGTTATGAACCTTGTTACATAAGATGTAATTGATGATAAGGAATAAGTATTTGAAGTTTGAGGAAGATAACTTTAAAAGTAAAGAAGTTATAGTAAAAAAAAACATTTTTCAAGTAAAAAAATCTAAGTTTATAGGGGGATAATTCTTGCAATATTGGTGCTAGGATTATGAACCTTGTCACATAACAGTCATGTGGTTAATGATAAGGAACATATATTTGAAGTGTGAAGTTGATCCCTTAAGAAATAAATAAGTAACAGTAAAAAATAATATTTTTAAGGAAAATTCTAAGTTCAAGGGGGAAATAAATCTGAAAATATTGGTGCTAGAGTTATGAACCTTGTCACATAAGATGTGGTTGATGATAAGGAACATATATTTTTAGTATGAAGTTGATCACTTAAGAAATTTATAAGTAACAGTAAAAAATAATATTTTTAAGGAAAATTCTAAGTTCAAGGGGAGATAAATCTGAAAATATTGGTGCTAATCTGAAATCTGGACGCCGGGGCGAGTAGGACAGCTCTCCATATACTTTGTATAGTCAAGCTAAAAATAATTAGATTCAATCAAATTTGAGTTCTACAAACTTATCAAAAGGGGTTTTTTGTCCTGAAACCATCAGTGCCTATGGTTATGACTGTATAAAATAGATAAATACAGAATCCCTAAAGAAATCCCAACACGGCAAAATTGAAAATGTTGCAGGCTCGGTTTGATTGAGCCTGTTCATGGACGGTACTGGAAAGTGCAAGTTCGTTCACAGCGCCCCTAGCACCGGCCTTAAGCAGAGATTCAACATTAAAATGTAAATGGTTAAATTTTGAATTATGAAATCTTTCCGCAAAACATTTACACTACCTTGATTTAAAATTTTGGCCATTTTCCTGCTTTAGAGCTAAGTTAAAAATCTAACAATTACATTGATTTTCAAAGTTTGTCTTACATTGTTACTGTTGATCAGATCCTGTCAAATTTAATCTTTTTTACCTGGATTTTAATTCCTTTCTAAATTTACTGAAAATTTCGGCGTACCATTGTTTCATGAATCTAGCAGTTATTTAGCCTTAAATTACTAATCAAATTTAAACACTTTTTTCTAAAAGGGAATCTGAATAATACATAAAAATTTGTTTAGACTTTTGTCTGTTAATCGTAATTGAAATAAAATTAGCATGCTTATATATCTATCAAAACTGCGATAATCGTTCATAGAAAACAGATATTAAGTCAAATTCTGTAAAGCTCACAGACATATATGAAGCTCATGTCTGCATCTGAAAATGTGGAAGTCAGTGGTTACTATGAAACAGAGAAAATGCAAACTCCTAAAAAAAAGTCCAGAGCAACATAATTGAAAATGTTGCAGGCTGGGTTTGATTGATCCTGTTATGGACGGTACTGTCTAGTGCAAACTCAAATCCATGCCCCCTAGCACCAGCTTTTGAAGCTGAGTTCAACATTTAAACATGAAGTGGAAAAAAATTTTGAATTTAGAAACAATATCTGCAGTTGTGTTCATACAGCCGTTATCATGGCACCTGCAATGTGACACGTCAGTGCCATTACATGAAAAGCGGCATATGGTCCCCAAGTAATAGAAAGCGTGTGCGCTAAACCAGAAAACAATTGGCGGAAATAAACAAAATGGAATTTCGAACCGGATACAGAGGTTATGAAGCCTGCATCACAGATAGGACGTCAAAAGACAAATTTAAAGAGCAGGCAACATATCCTAAGGGCAATTCAACATTATTCAAATAAGAATAATTATTGGAACCACCTGACTTAAAAATGCAAAATTGTTAAAATTTAAAATACCACAAACACTGAAATTCAATGGAAGGTTCAGCTCAATGCTTTTGAAAGTAAATGTTTGCTAGATGGAAGTCACTGGATGCTGCCAATGACGTCACGTCAAAATATATGCTCGGCCGTGTAATACCCTCGGTGATAGGGCGATTACCACAACTTTTCCGCGCAACGTCAAAATATCATCCTTCTGACCGAGACACCGTATATTTCTGGACAAAATATTAATGGCGGGATAAACAAATTCCAGGTAATAGCTTACAAAATATCTTACTGCTGGACATTGCAAGATTATTCCAATTGTTTAAGTATTCCATCGAATTTTTGAGACAATTTATTGTTAATCTAGCCACAATACAATTCACAAAAAAACACATACTTCGAAGAAATAGTGTTTACAAAAAGATCGTGTGTACCTCAACATGACTCGTACTTGTCACAAAAAAACATGTGTTATAACGACGATGTCTTTGTTCTATGAACCTAACGAGCGCGTATATTTATTATGGTTAAACCCTAAGTTCAAGTTCCATACAAAATTGTGTGTTTCTATCGTAAATTTCAAGAATATTTTTTTGAAAAAAGGCCTACTGACCCGATATATTGGGAGCATCGTACAACACTGAATTCAAACATCGCATTCTTTTTTCCGTTAGACCGATAAATACTGGCACCGTCTTCTTTTTGAATTATACAATCTTCTTACAAATAT